GGGGGATAGGTTGAGGCTCCGTCTAAAAAAAAAAAAAAAAGAAAGAAAGAGGGGCGGCAACCTGTGCCTCACTGGGTAGGGCGCCAACCCTATATAGCAAGGGTGGCGAGTTCAAACCCAGCCCCGGCCAAACTGCAACAACAACAAAAAAAATAGCCAGGTGTTCTGGGGGCACCTGTAGTCCCAGCTACTCAGGAGGCTGAGGTAAGAGAATCACCTAAGCCCAGGAGTGGGAGGTTGCTGTGAGCTGTGATGCCACAGCACTCTATCGAGGGTGACAAAGTGAGACTATGTACAAAAAAGAAAAGAAAGAAACAAAACGGAGTTACAAATTCATCAAAATATTGATTATTTTCCACCAAATCTTAAAACCTGTTTTGAAATTCTTGTATCAAATCAAAAAGCAAGGTTGCACATTTTTCTCTGTTCACAGGACTGTGTTTAGCCAACGTGTTGAAGTGCTTGGAATTGTTTGTCTTAATTTGAGCTTGCCATGTTTAACTCATTTAAATGAGCAGTTAAATACATTAAACATGCTAAATCTGTAAGCCACATTTCATCATCAAGTTTTTTGTTTTTTGGGTTTTTTTGAGACAGAGTCTCACTCTGTTGCCATTGGTAGAGTGATGTGGCATCGCAGCTCGCGGCAACCTCAAACTCTTGGGCTCAAGCAATCCTCCTGCTTCAGCCTCCTGAGTAGCTGGGACTATAGGTACCACAGTGCCTGGTTAATTTTTCTATTTTTACTAGAGACAGAGTCTTGCTCTTGCTCTTGCTCTGGCTGGTCTCGAACTCCTGAGCTCAATCCATATGCCCACCTCTGCCTCCCAAAGTACTAGGATCACAGGCATGAACTACTGTGCCTGGCCTCAGCATCAAGTTCTGACACAAACTTGGACTTTAATACAACTTGATAACATGTCACACAAATCATAAAATCTTTTCAAAAGTCGGCCTTGACTTAGCCATCTTACTTTGAGAAAGTAAATCATGCCATCATTAATACTTTTAGGAATTCCTGGAATTGACCATGATTTCAATCCCTTGACCTTTATGAAATTCACAATCTTGATGACGATTTGCATGACATTATACATTATTAAAGCTTTTACACGTAAATTTTCTTGATGTACTGTGCAATGATACTTCATCAAACGTGAGTTTGGGCAGCAATTGCATCATCTTCTATTAATCTCACAAGTCTCTCTCTTATCTACCATCACCAGGGTACCCTCAGTAACTATACCAGATATTTCGACAATGGACAAATGTTAATCATTTTAACATATTTTTTACTGCTTCATTCAAATCTCTTGATATATTGTGAGATTGTGTCTTTTAATGGCACCAAAGAAGCCGTTTATTGAATAACGTTATATTCTTCATCAATACCTCTAATAAAAATGGCAACTTATACTTACCTGGCAGGGGAGATACCATGATCGTGAAGGTGGTTTTCCCAGGGTGAGGCTTATCCATTGCTCTCTGGATGTGCTGACCCCTGATTTCCCCAAATATGGTATACTCAACTACATAATTTGTGGTAATGGGAGACTGCGTTTGCTCTTTCCCCTGTTAAAAAAAAAAAAGGCAACTTGAGCCATAGTTGTAGCATCAATGCTGTCATCCATTACCAAAGCATAACATTCAAAATTAGTAGTTTTACTCTCCAAACGTCATTTGATAGATTTTTCCAATTTCTTTTCTTTTCTTTTTTTTTTTTTTT